AAAAAGAAACTTTACACTCACTGCTCCTGATTCTTGCCAAATGCGAAATGAGTGGATCCGCAGCTGTAGGAGCATGCCAAAACTACTGCAATTTTCCCCGCTCGAAATTGCACGGGAACGAGGTTAGAGGGAGGGTAGTGGAACCCCAGTGCAGGCACTGCCTTGATCTGCCGCACACCTAGTCAAGCGCTTGGCCAAGGGTAAACGCCCTACTTTTATGTGCCCTCTCACTTCTAGTTTTTCTCCACTCGAGTGTAGGTGTCACTACGGAACCGCGGCATCGACACAAGTGCTGCACATTGAGGATTGCGCGGACGGACACGCGCTCTGGCAGTACCCTTCAGCCGCGCTCCTGAGCACTTTGAGCGGAGGAAGTGGCAGGCTACTGCAGCTGCGAGGCCATTTTGCCTTGCTATTGCAGGGCCAAAACGAGTGTAAAGTCTTGAAACAGTGGTCCTTAATCGGAGGAATAAAAAGTAGAAAAGTCTTTGCCGTCAATTAATCTGTGGGAAGCGACACGCACTACTCTACTTCCATTTAGAATCGTAGTGGCTTATTAAGTGCATGGCCTATACAATGACTTGCGGGGGCCAGCCGATGTACAAGTCAGTGTTTTATCCTCCCAGACGAATCTGGTACCAATTTACCGTCCCCGGAGGGTAGAAGGCTTGGTTGGCCTGGGCGGGAGTCGACCTGGGATTCGAACTCACTACACCACCTCCGCCTCATGCTTTATTTTTAGACTTTTATCAGAACGCATATTCCGTGATAATCGGTCGACTTACAACCGTTGTATATCCTTCATTGACGCATTGGACTAACGGACTACGCCTGGGAAAGCACTTTTCTTGTGTGCTGCTGCTCTGCTCATCTCTCCACCCTCCCATTTTTCACGGGGACGGCTTTTAACCATTTGGCCGAACAAAGGCGCCTTTTCGCGTGTCTGCCGCGTGGGACGAAGCAATTTTTCCCTATTTTTGAGGAATGCGCATGAATGCTAGGGCGTTTACACACCAAAAAACACTTGCAGAAAGGATAGTATCTAATGCCAGAAGCATAGTGAAATTTGCTTTTTTTCCACTTTCAGATTTAAACCCTTAATTTTTTCGCGGATACTCCCTCCCGCCCCATACACGCGGAGCGTGGGAAAGAGGTCGCAAAAAAGGAATTTTTTGGCGCCAGAGGCAGTAAATTGGATTCGATCCAGATCTGCTATTGTAGAAAGTTACCTTATCACGTTAGCTATCTACATGTGGAGCTTGAGTTCTATTTATCCAAAAATTACCTTTTCCTAAGGAAATCACTTTTCTTTGTATCCTCTCTAAAATACTCCCAATGACACAACTGTATTAGTTTTTGCAGCTACTTGTATATTCTACAATGCCTTCCTGTACAATATGTAGCTGTTGTAAATTCGAACGTTTTCAAATTGTTGTAACTTTGATGTTCTATTACTTCTGCGTCAACGAGGTTTGTAGGTGGAACTTTATTTACGGCCTAACGTTTCGACCAGATCGTCGTCCTCAGAGGCCTGAACGTAGCTCAAGATTTTTAATTTGCTCTCTACACCGCCAAACGCCTTGTCGCCCCCGCGTTTCCGACGGTACTTCCAGAAACAACCAAAAACCTCCCGTATGTAAAACATACTCACCGAGTCCACCGCGGCATGAGCGGGTCAACGCCGCTCCACTAGATGTTAGTAATGTAAGTGAGACACACCGTGCTGTCCTTGTGTAGTAGCTATCAGGACTTGCACATCTCACGGCTTACATCATTAACTCGCAATGTGGTGAAAACGGTAAGAGATCATTTGTTATGGCTAAACACTCATTTCGGTTATTCATCCTGGGATTCCTTGCGGAAATCCAGAATGCCTCTAGCGCTTTTCTGGCGGAGATCTCAGTCTCGTACGCTAGGATCCTGCACTTCACATCAAAATCGCTTCCGCGGTGCTCTTCGATTAGATGCTTCCCTAACGGTGTTGTTGTGTGGATCTAGGGCTGGAGGATGATGTGGTCTTAGTGAACATCCCTAATGACAGCATCAGGCGCCAGCTTGTACGTAACAGACTCTACGACAGACACTGCATATCAGATCATTGTGTTATATGTCCTAACGGTAAGGCAGGAGATTGTGCCAAAGCTGGCGTGATCTATCAAATCGAATGCCAGACATGTAATGCAACATACATTGGGGAGACTGGTAGGCCACTGGCAACACGTATCAAAGAACATCTTGCTGGTAAAAGGCGTGGTAACACAACAACACCGTTAGGGAAGCATCTAATCGAAGAGCACCGCGGAAGCGATTTTGATGTGAAGTGCAGGATCCTAGCGTACGAGACTGAGATCTCCGCCAGAAAAGCGCTAGAGGCATTCTGGATTTCCGCCTAATATATCTCAGGAATGAATAACTCTCTCTTAGATAGTTGTTTAGCCATAACAAATGATCTCTTACCGTCTTTTCACCACATTGCGAGTTAATGATGTAAGCGTGACTTGTTAGTGAGATGTGCAAGTCCTGATAGCTACTACACAAGGACAGCACGGTGTGTCTCACTTACATTACTAACATCTAGTGGAGCGGCGTTGACCCGCTCATGCCGCGGTGGACTCGGTGAGTATGTTTTACATACGGGAGGTTTTTGGTTGTTTCTGGAAGTACCGTCGGAAACGCTGGGGCGACAAGGCGTTTGGCGGTGTAGAGAGCAAATTAAAAATCTTGAGCTACGTTCAGGCCTCTGAGGACGACGATCTGGTCGAAACGTTAGGCCGTAAATAAAGTTCCACCTACAAACCTCGTTCTCGCAGAAGTAATAGAACATCAAAGTTACAACAATGCCGAGGTTATACGAAGAGAGAAGTTGGAGACTGTTTTCAAATTGGTTTTTTACCCATGCCGCATCCCAGCAGTGGGACGCAATGTCCCACGCGGCAAAAAAGGTGCGTCCCAGCAGTGGGACGCAATGTCGCCAACGTGTTAATGTTTTCAAGTTCAGTTTCCTCTCAAATAACATTGCAGGCTTGTACGCCTCCAGTGATTTTTCAAGCGCTATTAGGTGTCGGGGCTATTGCTTTGTTATGTGCTCAGAATCTATTTATGAAAACTATTCTTTTGCATCAAACTGTTATGTTTTTGGCTGCGAATCCACTCAATGATCCAGAGGCTCTGCTGAAAAGATGCCACGATTTTATGGAGGAAGCTCAGGTACGCGGCATTTGTCGTTTCCTCCAGCCAACATCAACCCATTTCTGACCATTTCAGAACCGTTTTGAGTTAGCTACCATAGAAAAAGCAGCCAGATTAATACTGGAGTTGGCTGACATTGTTGGCAAAAGTGGTAACAATGATAACATAACCGAAATGGCTGTGAATGTAGCAGGTACGTATTTTTTTGTTGCTTTCAAATCGGGTGAAATATGTTGTTATTTGCCTAAACCCACCCTGGTAGCGCCTGCTTTTTTTTTTGCCTAGATTTTGTTGTTTTTGCCTAGATTAGATATGGGCTGAGATTTACTTGGTTAGACGGTAAACATTGACGGGGTCACAACCATTATAGACAGGGAAAATGTGATCTTCCGACCACTAAATTCCATGAAAACTTACCCTTGAAAGACCTTGTGGGCGCAAATCCACCTTTAACTGGAGGATGAACAGCTCAGAGGGAAAGGCACACTCCTTGAGGAGAGCAAAATTGTAGGCTTTCTTCGCTCGCATGTTGAGCGTGTGGAATGTACCTGCGCTGTCATCTCCATTCCTTACTTTTTTCGTTTCTAGAAGATGTGATCAAGCGTGTTGAGTCTGTTAGACGTCGACCAATATCCACAACATCACAACTGCTCAACCATCTATCTGCACAGTGCGGATTCGTGAAAGTAAGTTTGAACATTCTGTTTTCTGGGGTGGAAGACGCACCTGGAAAGAGCGTTTACAATCCGATGCGAAGGTGCGGTATTCTGTCGCGTCGTAGCGCGGCGTGTCAGTTGGCGGTGCGCGGCAGATTCTCGATATGCATCAACTGGCTGGTTGGAGCCAGCGAAACTCATTTGAATCAAGCGCAGACAAGACTGCATGACGGATTATAACGAGTTTTCCCTTCCCTTGGCCACTCAAATTCTAGCGGCCATCCACGACAACTCGTCCGTTGGCCGCGGCGCCGCTCGCCACGCCTACCATCGCGGCATGTTGCGATTGTGTTGGTATATACTTCCGCTGGGCATCATTGCCATTTCGTTGACCGCGAGACAATGTAGCGTGTGCCAACACAGCGTTTATTTACTTATTTATTTACAACCGTAAGACGCCGCGATGGTGAGCGTGGCAGCGACGTCGCGAACGACAAGCGAGTTGTCGTGTCTGGCCGTTTGGATCTTGAGCTTCCAGGACGGGGGAATTCAGTCTTCCTCGTCATGCAATCTTGTCGCTTGTGAACTCATGGAAGTTTCGCTGCTCTAATCGACACACTTATCATCGACAACTTGCCGCGCAGCGCCGTACGACACGCCGCGCACGACGACACGACAAATTACGATTGTCCTGTCCGTCTCCCGTGCAGCAAAGCTCTAACCACGAATGAGAATTTCAGTGTGAAGAAAAATGGAACGTACCAGTGGACAAAACAGCGTTGGCCCGCCTTCTGAATCGACTTGTGGCCCGTGGTCATTTCTCTGATAATAGTGCCTTAATTAAACATTATTTGTGAGTCGTTTTGGAATTTGAAGTATTTTCAAGTAGGCAAAATACTAATATTTTCAGTAACAGTACGCTTTGAACCGTCGGCAGGTCGTCTGATGTCAGCGCTTTCTACTTTTATCATAGTGCAGCTTTACTGTGATAGAATGTCGCTTTTGAAGATGCTAATATTATCTAATATTACTTTTGACGATTTGATTGTTTGAGAAGTTGCAATAGGGTCTAAACTAATTGCCTCGGTTACTTTCAGTATAAATACCATGTTGTCATGTTTTAGATGGTTACTAGCTGATCTCATTGATTTGATGAAGTGGTAGTTTCTTTCAATGCAATAAATATGGGTATTTAGATTTTTTTCTATTCCTAGGTGTAGTTTGTATTTGCAGTGAGTCAATACTGCTACTATATGTTCCGTGGACAACAAGAAGGCTGTTAAGGATGTCGTTTGGGGAGGGCCGTTGCGGCGATATTTGGCCTTTGTTTTCTTCAGCGCCGTTTCCGCTAGGTTTTTCCCTTCATTGCAGGAGGAACGCAGACGTTTTAGGGTCGTGCAGGTGGCCTGGACAAGATCGGAATGGCAGTGCTTTGTGTTGCGACTGCAGACGCTTGGAAGGCGACCGCGGAGGCATGGGTTTGGCGTGACCCAACAGTTTTTCACAGTTGAGCGTCGCTTGCCATCTTCTAAAAGGTGGGAGAACGATTTGGCGTCGAGCCCACGGAAGCACTCCCCACCACATCCCGCCCTCCCCTAAGAACCTTAGCGATCATGTAGAGAACAAGGGCTGTCACCGCGTTTCAGGGGAGTAAACGCGCGTTAAATTGCAAGGTCAGGCAACAGCGCGCCCGAAAAGTTTCTGCATCAAGCAGCAAACCTTGTCTATTTTACAAATTCCAGTATTCTAATTTATTTCTGGGCGGATCATATTCAGTACCTTATCTAGTACTATTTATATATGGAGGGACCATCACATCGATGAGATGTGCAACAAGAACGCAAGCTGGCAAGCGAGTAGAAAGTTGATGTAAATTATAACACGGTTTTCGAGTTGAAGGTGCGGCTTATATACCATTTTCACTTTAAATTCACCCTTTTTCAAACCAAATTCGCCTTTTTCAAAGCAATTTGTGTCGTCTTTTTAAACAGTTGTCCTTTTCACCAAAATTCACCCTTTTGGGAAACCAAATTCACCTTATTTTCATAAGTTAACACACTTATTGGGCGGCAACTCATCAACCGATCACGGCCTAGACATCACTTGCCAGCCCGCCGAGACGGCACGCCACTTGTCAGCGCGAGAACATGATTTCTCAATCATTAGTTATACTTTGCTTTGTGTTTCGCACTTTGACTGGAAACCACCGTGCATTCACACATGGCCGACTCCGCCCATTCTCTAAAGGGTTTGGCACTCTAGGCTGACCACGCCCACTGGCTTTTCGCGGAATTTCGATGTTTTTTCAAAATTTTGCATTTGTTGTGCGTGAAGCCGCACGTGATATGTCCGCCACTTTTGAATAAGCCCACCACCTTTTCAAAAAAATTTTAATGGTAATCTAGTGCAGATCGCGCTAGATATAGAGCCTTTGGTTGCATGCTAGGTAATTGCTAGTCATTCGGAATAAACTTACGTCGGAAATTTTCCTGTTCGAGTGATGCTACGAGGACGCCTAGATGCAAGCAACTTTCCTCTATTTGCCATCTGCACCATTTTTGAAAAGTGAGACGGAGGCGTATTCAGGTCGTGGGCGCGAGCATAGCAGGGGTGGCGCGGACTTCACGCAGCACCCTTAGAATTGCAATGATTTTGAAAAAAACATCGAAATTCCGCGAAAAGCCAGTGGGCGTGGTCAGCCTAGAGTGCCAAACCCTTTAGAGAATGGGCGGAGTCGGCCATGTGTGAAATGCCACGGATGGTTTCCAAGTCAAAGTGTTTGTGGGAAACAGCAAAGCAGAAGTTATGAAACAAGATTTGAGAATCTATGTCCGCGCTGACAAGTGGGCGTGGCCGTCGGGGCGGGGCTCGCAGTGATGTCTGGCATGATCTGGTTGATGAGTTGCCCTAATAAGTGTGGTTAACTTGATGAAAAGTGAGGGTGAATTTGGTTTGAAAGGGTGAATTTCGCGTTGGGAAAAGGGTGAATTTGCGTTTGAAAAGGAAGATTGGCGTTTGAAAAAGGACGAATTTGGTTTTGAAAAAAGACGTGAATTTGAAATGAAAATGGTATATATAGTAAAATATATATGGTAGGATAGTGGAATGAGTTCATTTTCTGCTGCTATCAGAAAAGTAATGGCTGAAAAAGAAGATTGCACACTGAGCCTCTAATATCTGGCCGTACAGAGGTGTGGTGAGAATGGCCTCCTATCTTTTCTTATCAATTGATAAGATTGTATGTTACCCGTCATCAATGTCCCTATCACTAAAACTCTATAATTTGGTAGTGTAAAGGCTCCAGCACTTGACTGAACAGCAACGGCAACGTATCTTATCAGCCCCTATCAGCTAGTATCACTTCCCGTCACCCGCCGTGCTGGAATCAACGCCTAGCTGATGCTGTGTCCCCCGTTGTGGATGTCATGGCAAAAGAACTCAAGGAGGGACAACTGAAAACCATCCTCTACGTCGATGCACTTATAGGAGATAGCAGTGAAGAACTCTAGGATAAGGTGCAGCGGTGACACGATGTACTCGCTGGACTCTGGCTGAACGTGAAGAACACCAAGTTATTTAGCTCCGAATAGTGCAGACCGCCATAGCGAAAGCATCAAAAGGGTGCATCAGAGGAGTTCCAGTACCTGGGGAGCAATATAGCAGCTGATGGTTCTGTGGACCAGGCGGTGAAGACCCGAATCAACGCAGCCTGGATGAAATGGAGGGAGTCCACTGGCATCCTGTGCGACCGGCGGTGCTCGAGAACGCTCAAGGGCAAGGTGTACCGGGCGGTGGTAAGGCCTACAATGCTCTACGGCAGTGAGTGCTGGCCCATCTGCAAGAACCATGAAAGGCAGCTCCACTCAGCTGAAATGAGGATGCTGAGATGGGCCTGCGGTTGGACACGACAGAGTCAGAAACGAGGACGTCAGGGCGGTCACACAGACGGCTCCGATCCAGCTGAAGGCACGAGAGCAGCGACTGCGATGGTATGGGCACGTACTGAGGAGGCCTGAAGACCACCCAATAAGGAAGGCATTGGAATTCGAAGTAGAGGGCAAGCGACCACGAGGAGCCCCAAAGAAAAGATGGAGGGACGTATCTGCAAAAGCGAAATGGCTGGGAGGCACGCCGTGGCGCTGATCGTTTTTTTCTTTTTTCTCGAGTTTCTCGACCCCTTCCAATCACCTACGAGGTTGTCCTAGTCCCTTTCATCAAGCAGCGGCCGGAGAAGAGTAGTTATACAATACCAGATAGTTATACAGTTTCAGCTCTTCTCCTATGCATTCGCAACCCTCCATGTTGGTAAAGAGCGAGCCAAACACGACTCTTCTCTTAGAAGTCACTCAAATACGACCACCCATCTAGCGATTGTTACTCAGTCCTGAGTGGTATCGTACTGAAAGCTTTGATCAAAACCATGTGAACCATGTGAACTTCACTTTCCTACGTCCGGTCATGCACTTCCAATATGTCCTGACAAGCTGAATTATGTTGGTGAGCACGGAGTTATGCATAAATGAT